CAATCAATAATACGGGATTGAACAAACTCCGTATTAATGATGAATTAGCCGGCGCCGGAGACAAGTTTGGAATCTATCCCAACGCCGACACGCTATACGCAGAGGCCATATTCGATCTATCAGCCGATATCTTCACACTGACTGTACCAGAGGTAGATGATGACCGATATTGGAGCTTCTCATTCTTCGATGGGTATGTTACAGCACGCTTGACGCGATTTCAACTGACGATGAAAGGTTTGGCGAAAACTACGCCGTAATTGGCTCTATATCGGGCTCTTCTTTCGGAAATTACACCTTGCGCTGGAATCCGCAGTTGAACGGTCAGACTGTTGTTGAAGACAAGGGCACGCTATGCATTGAATCACCCGTCGCCTATGGATCGCTCCTTATCAGGATTCTGGTCCGAAATAATGGCACCGACCTGGCACAATCAGCGAAAATCATCAACGGCTGCAAGCTAACAGAGGCCGGACCTCGACCAAGAGCAGCGTTCGATAACACTCCACCGCTAAGCTTAGCGACGTTTGAAGGACTTCCAGAAAATGCAACCGGCGTCTTGGAACTCACCGCTCGCACACTAAATGGCTTTCCTCCAATCAACGTAACAAATCCCCGCGCCGTAGATAAAGAATTGAACGTCGCCGGCATTCATCAGGGGTCATACAGTAAACCTGCAGGTGTCAACTTGACGGCGGCAACTAATGTCGTTATTGAAGCCATAGCTAATTACGAGAAGACCTGCGCTTTTTTCAGCCTGGGTAATGGCTGGAAGAGGTTCACAACTGTGGGTCTATTCGGCGCAGATTACGTTGCTAGGGCTTATGTCGTCGCCCAAGGCCAGGAGTCGGAGAGGATAACAGAGTCGCTTTACACTTACCCGGAGGGAAATATCTCATTGGCAGAAGGTGAAGCATATCTCGCTACCTTCTCCAGCAAGCCGCCCATTGGGCCGACTGGCTTTTGGAGTTTGACCATGTATCAAAACGGTTTCCTGGTTGAGAATCCCATCAATATATACGCCGTTGGAGATCGAAGCAACATTACATATCCGGATGGATCGTTGGTATATGGCACAGGAAGCAGCTCCAGCAATGAGACGTTCCAGATTCTTGTTCAATCTGCAGCGGCTCCACCTCCGGCAAATTGGACTCACAAGTGAGTGCTAGTTATTTACCGCATGTTTGTGACTGACCTCGTGGTACAGTTGGCTCCCGTCTCCATCAAACTATAGCGATTTCAGCGTTATCTGTAAGTCTTCTTAGAGCTTTAGACTTTTGGATCTTGCTCACATCTGATATAGTTCGGTTGTATTCACCCACACCTCCTCTTGTCAACGGGTCTTGGCCGTATCCTATAGTCACGAAGATTAAAGCTATCACAGCATAAGATGCTACTACTGGGTAACTTGCTGCCGCTGAAGGGTGTTATGCGGGAAAACAGAAAGCCAGGTGCAGCGTAGTATTTTTGGCTCAGTGATTCCGTCTCTCCTTTTGTTCACACCGCGAGATATCTCATCTGGTCCAAAGACGATACCGGAAAGCCGAAGCGGTGCGGGAATACTCGATGGGTGCTAACGAGAAGAGATGGCTCAGAGCTTAGAATCACCAGTCAAGGCTTGGCGTGTTTTGGTCGAGCTTTCGGCGAAGAGTGAACTGGAAGTAAGTCAGATCAACTGCGCTGCCCCTCATCATGCACTGTTGCAGCAACAAGTGATTCATCTTGGAAGAAGACCTTGCAAAGCAAAATGCAACGTGGAATTGTTAATACGTAGACATCAATCTTGATATTATGCGTACAATTTCGTGAGCGACTGCCGCAGCTCCACTTAACGCCAAACAATTATCTTCGTCTTTGTGCCATGACCCTCTGCTTCGGGAAGTCCAGTGGTATCCTCAGCCGCGCCATGCGATGATTGAATGCTTCTGCTTTCGTGATTTTAGTCCGTTCACGCTCTCGTTCTGTGGGGGCTGTTATGGTACATCCGATCTCGTGAAAGTACTGCGTGATTCTGATAAAGAAGTAAGCATGACCTGCCAGAAAAGATGCGCAGTGACAAAACTAACTGTTTGTTATCAAGTGACAGATCCTCTCTTATGTCGTTGACATCTGACTCGAAATTGTCCACGATAAGGGCCAGAGCACAGATGTGCGTGACAAGATTATCGACTTTCCACTTCGTCATATCACTAAAATTGAGCGTTAGTAAATAAGTACGAATAAGTGGATTTAGCGATCAGCGATTACCCTCCATCAGCAAATTTCCTGACCACGCTTGAAACAAGCGCCTCGTCAACTCCAAGTCTCTTGTTCAGCGCGTCTCGTGGAGGCAGTTTCTTTCCGCCCCCTCGAGACGGCTTTCCAGCAGCATAAAGCTCTATCAATACTGTAAGGTAACGCAATGCTTTCACTCTGTCCTGATTATCATCGTCCCTTGCTGTCTGCTGCAGCCGCCTAGCAACATATCGACTCCTCGTCAGCACATCTTGCTTTTCCTTCACTGCATCGATCCACTCCTTCACCGGCAAGTTTTTCAGTTCTTCCGGCCCAATCAAGGACACTAGAGGATATACGTCTCGTACCGCTGTAGCAGATAAATTGGCTTTCGGACGGGGTTTCGCGTCGTCCACGCTCGCTTGGAGGTCTCTCCGAGACGGCATGTCAACTGTTGAGGCAGCGATGGAGTTGAGCAGTGCTTTCGTCGCAGCGTCTTTGGGTTTGCCATCGCCCGTCCCTTTCGCTGGTGATATCGCATTCACAGTAAGAGAAGCGATGGCCTTCTTCGCCTTCTTCGTGCCGAACTCCATCCCGAGATTCTGGCGGAGTGAGGCATTCGTCTGCCTAGGCTCTTCCATTTCATCCTCTGACCCTTCCTCTGGGCGCAATGTCGTCCGAAGTACTAATTTGCGAGCTTCCATCAACTTCAGATCCCCCGTCTTTGGGTCGTATACGCCGATGTAATGCTGTAACAGTCCATTCGCGCCATCTTGCTCTTGGTGCGCTTCGTAGTCGAGACGGGGGTGATCTGAAGACTGTAGGAGGAGCTCGTATGGTTTTCCTTCTGGAGCGGGTCGGCCTGGGATTGGGACAGTGGAGTCGCGCTTCTTGTAGGCTTTGAGGGAGATGTCAGAGGGAAAAGAGAGCCCAGGAGAGGATGCTATACAATCACAATAATTAGTCATCATAAATCATTAGATCATTATCATATCCTCATGATGTACTTTATGCCCCAGTCTCAATTGACATCTCGGTGCGAAAATATATAGAAATGAGCATACCTATGACAGGACAGAGTTCTCCAGACTCGCGGAGTAAAGATACTTTCAAATTTGCAGAATCAGGCGCAGAGGCAACCTTCTTCGCGTTTCGGCCATCATGCTCGTTTGCTCTCTTCCTCTTCTTTTCCGGCATTGTATCGCACATTGGGTTCCTATCGAGCTGCAAAGCTGCTCAAAATTTAAGTGGAGTCGGAATGTGAATCTTGGCATTCAGACCCTTGCACCGATCGCGCCATGACTCGCAACAGTTTACCCTGACGTGGCTCAACGAGTCAGTCACAACTTTGAACTTTAACACGGCGCGTCGACTTCGAGGCAACGAACTTTCCTTCACTTCACTTTCCTCGGCTTCACTCCAGAACCTCAACTTCAGACTCAACTTTTGCAGCTCGCACCACCACTCTAGACCTGCTTCGGCTTGTTCTATCCAACTTTTTCTCGATCTTGCATCTCAGACCTGCCACCATCATGCCGGACGCTCCCAACAACAACGCTGGCGCGGAAAACACGATGCTAGCGAGAGGACAAGGCTTTGTGGAGTCTGTCTTCTCCGAGGAATGGAAGATTCGCGTCGAAACCTTCGCCGACCGCAATCCAAAGCTCTCTGTATGTTGAGGCACATCAAGAGCGACTGACTTTACTACCTCACGCTAATAGGACTTCTTCGAGGCCTTCCTCCTCGTCAACCTCCTCATGACTGGCCTTCCGATCCTTTTCTTCGCTATCTTCTCGATCTCCGTCCTCGTCTTCTCCCTCACCTTCTGCTTCCTCGCCGGCCTCACCATCGCACTCCTCTGGACTGGTCTCCTGGTTGGCATTGCTCTGCTTATTCTCCTCCCCACGATGTTCGTGACTAGCGTGTTCGCGTCGTTCATATTCTTCTGGGGCTTCGTTGGCTACATTATCCTCAAGTGGCTCACTGATAGCGGTTCACCGGCTAAGAAGCGCGAGACAATCGGTAACCAGCTCAACGACTTCACTGGTGGAAGGCTCCACTTTCTCATTGATGCCGCAGGACATGATCAGACTGAGAATGCTGGAGTGGTGAATGGATTCAACAAGAATGGAGTCAACAAGAATGGAGCCAACAAGAATGGAGCCAACAAGAATGGAGTCAACAAGAATGGAGTCAACAAGTCCTCGAATGGTGATGTTCAAGTCAAGGTGGAAGCAACCTAGCCATGCTGCGAGGACTTGCCAGCCTCCATACGTAACTGGCGAAGCGGGGAAGATGCGATTTGCATCTTTCGGATGACAAGGAGGTCTATCATGGCTTATGACACTGCGTATGATGTTGTTGCAGGAACAACTACATGGTGAGCGAGGTGTCCTCAGCTATCGGACTACGTTACGAGGCATGTCTTTTTCGAATCCAAGGTTCTCGTATGACCAAGTTCATACTTGGTTGGATACTTTATGGTTTTGTTTATGATTTTCTTTTCAAAGCGCGGCATTCGACCGCGATGCTAGGATGGAAGATATACCCAGGCACATGCCTTCCGTGGTTTCCCTTTCACAAATGCGATACCAAAATACAATGACTCAGTCAGGTTTCAAACTGGTATCGAATACAATTGAATTGCTCTAAACATGCTACTGTCTCGTCACTGTTTCCATGTCTGTTCGCAGTGGCAACACTGGCCATGGTCATGCTCATTGCCAGGCACTCAGAAACCCGTGAAGCAGAACAAAAAGATTCTACAAGAAAAAAGGCAAAAATAATACCTCGTCGGCGAATCGAACGCCGAGCTCTGCGTTATCAGCACAGTGTTTTACCATTAAACTAACGAGGCGTAGATAGCTCGTCGAAGATTTGAACTCCGGGATCTCGGTCATGGGCCAAGTGTTTTAACCAACTAAACTAACGAGCTTTGAATACTGCGGTCCCAGAATTCGTTTGGGAATATAAGGCTGAGCGCTTGGGTTTGCAAAACCACGGTGGAGCCTTTTGACTCACAGGCGTAATGCTGAGTCACGCAGGGTAGAGTCATAGCCACCGACACCACACCTGAAGCAGGGCGCAAAGGGACAATATCAAAACTCCTTATCATATGCTTGTGGACTTGAGGGTCGGAACGAATGCTGCTCAGACTTAAGAATACAGTACGTGAAGGAATGGATATATCTCGGGTCCCCTTTACAATCTCGATTCCAAACTCACATTCAATGTTGTTTCGTAATATCATCAACTCCCTTCTTACTCCTGAAAGAAGACCAAGCACCTAACCTCGATGCTCTCTCTCGCCTCCTTATCCTGCGTGCCCTCAATCTCAAACGCAGTATGCGGGATCCGCCTTGCACGACCGTCCTTCTCGCTGTCGAAGCATTTGATCAAGAGTGGCTCATCCGGTCGCTGGCCGCTCAGGTAGTACCAGTCGTGCTTCTCGTTGGGAAGAACGGTGTACGTCTCACCGCGGCGGCTGGGGTAGATGAGTGCCACTGGAATGAGATCCTTCTCCTCGACGCTGTGGGCTGCGGCGACGGCGAGGGGATCTCGCTGGACAGTCTTGATCGGGCGCCACACTAGTCGAATCATCAGCAGGGATGGGCAAAGAGTGCACAGGTAGACTTACGGTTGATGATCTGGAAGCGTCCGTTAAGCAGACGGTGGTAGTCCTCTGGGAAGTGGTAGCGGACGCGGTCTTCGGAAGCAGAATATGATTGGTCGATGTGCACACGCTGAACTGGGCCACGAAGCGGGTTCTCTCCTGCAGCTTGTGGGCGGCGGATCGTGTGGTCGAAGATGAAGACCCTCTTTGCACCGGTGCTATTTGCAGGTTAGTTAGAGCGCTGACATTACGACGATGGAAGTTACTCACGTGTCCTTCAGAAGTTGCTCGACCTCGGGATAGTACTGCTTCTTAATCTGCTCGTCGTCCGTAAAGTCCTTTTCGATACTCTCATGCTTGAGGAACTGGAAACCAGTGGTGTCCAGGTGCGGCTCGGTCTCACGGCCTCGCACGTCATGAACAGTCACAGTGCGAGTATCAACTGGGCGGTTATATGTATCAGGCTTGCCCACGTAGGATGGAACTGGTGGGCTGCCATCACCAGGGTCTTTGTAGTAGTTGAGCTTGGTGACTACATCGCGAGGACCTGCACCCTTGGTTTCGACACCAACTGCCGACAAGGGGCCATTAAGGTGTGGAGCAGAGGGCGGGAGTTGAACTGCTGCGGATGCCATATTGAGATATGTGATGGAAGATGAAGTTAAGGAGCGTGAAGTGAGCGAGAGAGAAGAGAGATTCAAATATAAACTATTAAGATATTTAATTTGTCAGCCCTGTAGATAATCAAGCCATATGTGCATATATATGTCCTCGGTTTGTTCGGGGTCGGATCCATGGATATGGTGCAATCGTAGTGAGTACGAATGATGCCATTCTCAGCATGCGGGGCTCCACACTTCCGCCAAAGGTCTCTGGAAGGGACCATTCCAAAGGTAACAGGAGCTCTCAATCTGATACTCCTCTTTTCGAGGACTCCTCCGATCAGAAGGCTCCAAGTGGTCTGAGCAGGAGATTTAGTGGCCCTTTAGTCTAGTCAATCGCGATTTATGGGCTTCGATACTACGCGGTCTTCGGATTAGAACGATGGTGAGCTGTCTGAATACTGGGTGAGCCGGAAAGGTAGAGGGCAGTACGGCGGGGACTTTGAGCACGACATCAGCGCGACATCGATCGTCACCATGTATCGCTCTGGCGCAGGCCTATCAGACTGTCGTCCGCCGTCGTAGTCGACCGCCGTAGTGCTCGACCGCCGCAGTTGTCGTCCGCCGCGTTCGCGCGAACATTATTAATGGCCATGGTATATGTAGGCCTGACAGTGGCTGTGTAATGCTTCCAAGAGAGGTCTTTCCCAAAATATTCAATCGGTGTCTGAGGTGAAGGAAAGGGAGGAGTTCGTGACATTGAACAGGAAAGTGGGGCACTCATCCCCTGCGCTGTCACCCTCAAGCGTGCGTGGCCGAAGACGACAAAATCTTTGACAAGTTCTGCAACCTTCTCTTCCACCATCTTGTCTTACCTATTTCTTTGATATTCTCTCTCTCCTCCTATCTTGACGAGATTCAGCACCGATTTGGTTCGCATAGTTCAGACGCAAGCATCTCGGCTACTCTGCGGAAGAGACCTGCCGGCGACATCGTACCACAAACCGGGAAATGACGGAGACCCAACAATTACTGTCAAACATCTATTACAACCTCTTTCCCAAGCTAAAGTCATGGAAGAGCTCAGATATCAACGGCCTCAGCACTGCGAGTCTGGTGTTCTTGGACTTGGCGTACGAGTGGGAATCTAGATCCGCTATTGCCGGATAGAGCAATTCGCCGTCAAACTAGTCGGATATCAGCGCGATAAGGAGCCGAGTACCCTGCAGATGTCAAAGGTAGCGATATCTTAAGTAAGGCTAAATTCTGGTAGGATTATCAGATGATTTTTGAATAGAAAATCGTCCGTCCGTTCGTTTTTATTCCTTCTTCTCATTCGTCTTCTGGTCACTGGGAGCTACGCTGCGACGTTCACGGCCTGATCTCGAAAGTCGTAGATAATTTGCGGAAAGTCGTTATATAGAAATACTCATTTCTACCATGGCAGTGGACATTGGAGTTTTCATTCCCATAGGGAACAATGGCTGGCTCATATCGAAGAACTCACCGCAATACAAGCCGTCGTTCGAATTGAACAAGCAGATCACTCAGAAAGCCGAGCATTATGGCTTTGATTTCGCTCTTTCCATGATCAAGCTCAGAGGCTTTGGCGGCGAAACGGAGTTCTGGAATCACAATCTCGAATCTTTTACGCTCATGGCCGCACTCGCTGCTGTGACGAGTAAGATCAAACTGTTCGCCTCAACCGCTATTCTCACGCTCCCGCCTGCACTTGTTGCGCGTATGGCCACGACCATCGACTCCGTTGCACCTGGACGCTTTGGAATTAATATCGTCACTGGATGGCAGCCGGCCGAATACACTCAGATGGGCATGTGGCCAGGAAACAAATATTTCGGCTACCGCTACGAATACGCGACGGAGTATGTCCAGGTGATGAAAGATCTATGGGAGGATGGTGTATCAAATCTGAAGGGGAAGCATTTCACCATGGAAGACTGCAAACTGTCTCCCAAGCCCTCTTCAGATATCAAGATCGTCGCCGCAGGCCAGTCCGCCGGTGGTATGGAGTTTGCAGCGAAGATGGTGGACTACAACTTCGTCATGGGCCATGGCTACAATACTCCATTGGCCGCAACAGAGCAGAACACACGGCTTGAAGAGGTAGTGAAGAAAACCGGAAGGGATGTTAGCGCGTATGTGCTCTTTATGATCATTGCAGAGGAGACGGACGAGGCCGCGGAGGAAAAGTGGAACCACTACAAGGAAGGCATCGATGTCGATGCAGTGTCATGGATCGCAGACCAAGGAGGCAAAGACACAAAGGCCGATAAGAATGCAACCTGGCGATCAATGGTGAAGCTTCCTGAAAGCTCTGTCAACATGAACATGGGGACGTTGTGTGGCTCTTTCGAGAAGGTTGCGGCGATGTTGGATGAGGCTTCCACTGTGCCGGCAACGAGGGGTATCATGTTGACTTTTGACGACTGGTTGGAGGGCCTGGACAAGTTTGGGACAAAGATCCAACCGTTGATGAAGTGTCGGTCTCATATTAAAGTATCCAATGGCGCGAGCGCGGAGTCGGGGACAAATGGTGCGAGTAAGAAGAGGAAGATATGATAGTTCAATAGATTTGCTTGCTCCTCAAGCTTGTGCTCAGTTCGCCTTGGAGTCCATTTGAATGTCGCGGACTTACGCGCGAAACTGCTTGAACGATAGAGCTAGGTAGGTAGGTACCTTACTCGGTAATCTAGGCCCGACACCACGTGACCTATAGAGTATGAGGCGCTAGATAGTGAACCCTAACGTCGCTGCAGGTTCTGTAACAAACGCGTGCGCATGAGTAAATCGGGATGGCCACAGGGAGAATCCAGAAACCGGCAGAGCAATCTCGCGTGCCTAGGCTGCAGACATTGTATACGTACAGGTTAAGCTCCTTGCTCTACTTCGTCTGTTCTTTCCGTCTTAACGCCGATCGACAGGGCAGACCTCAATCATGTCGTTTCACTGTTCCATCTTTGCTGAACCATTCCGATCAAATTTTTAACGCAATATCTCAAGTAAACTTCTCTTCACAAGCTTACAATGTCACATCGTGCTGCCGTGCTCAATGAAAGCGCATGCCCTTTGGCGTCGAGTTGCGCCAGACGCCAGTTCTGAGACCTGAAGAAGTGCTCATCAACTTCCAATTCACTTCCACATTCTTCAGCTTCCATCATCTTCGGTCACGTTCACTCTCACGTCTCAATTTCACACGTCTCCCTTCTGACAAGAGTCTCGGACTCTCACAAATTCAGGAGGTTCACTTTTCAATGGTCGTCAATAGACAATCCATCAGGCACATGATCATCGAAGCTGCCAGACTGAAGCGACTCGAGCAAGATAAGATGTCGATCCAGTCATCTCCGAGGAGCGTTGAGTTCATTACCACTGCATAAGCAATGAAAACGAGCCGGCACCAAGATGCTGATATTTCTGTTAGATCTTCCGCTCACGATGTTGCTCTGCCAGCAGCAGCCCGCCGCTGCATGGGACTGAGAAGAAACCTCTGCCAGCATGCCCCGAAGCTGCGTGGAACTGAGATGAAAGCCTCTGCCAGCATGCCCCGAAGCTGCATGGAAGTGAGATGAACTGCCCTCTGCCCTCAGCCCCGAGGCTGCATGGGATTGAGATGAACTACCATCTTCCCTCAGCCCCGAGGCTGCATGGGACGGAGCAAAAACCTCTGCCTGCAGCCCCGACGCTCATGGGACTGAGAAGCCTCTGCCTGTAGCCACGATGCTGCATAGGACTGAGAAGCCCACTGGAGCTACGGCTCGCGGCCTCAGAAAAGCTGTGTCACAGCAGCCAGCTCCCGTCGAAGCCGAGGGGCTCTATTTAGTCAAAGCAAAGCTGGATCTACCTGGCTAAGCTGTGAGTTGACTGTCCACATATGATCGAATTGAAGCTCAATGCTTCTGCGTAAACCGCACGCCTTTGTGACTGTGCTGAATGAAAGTAAGCCTCACCCTATGCGTGTAAGCTGCAAGTCTGCGCTCGAGCATGATTGCATTGAAGCTCAGCACCCTCGCTCAGACATGAAGTTGAACGAGTGCATTAAATCAAAGCAAAGCTCGATTTATGTGTGCAGGTTGCAAGTCGAGCGTCCACCCATAATCGAAGGGAAGCTTAACCTCCACGCGCAAATTGGGCGTCCAGTAACTGCATTGAATTGAGGCAAAGCTCGAACCTTGGAAACAATCCACGACAAAAGTGTTGCCTTGGAATCCAAAGGTACCTGATTGTGCCACAGAACACAAAGGAGTCATCCGCAATTTCGCAGAGCAGTGGTTAGCTGAAGCTGAAGACGGGGACAGGCCAACAGTCGGCGAAGCTTCTTGCCCGGTCAAACCCTATGGCCAAAAGATTCTGTCGCGTAGCGGATCCATCCAAGGGTGGTCCAGGACATGTTCTGATAATGTGTTCAGCATGCTTGAATGACGGTTCGTTTGTGCTCGGTACGAGACCTACGTACCACAGCGATCTCGCTCGTCCGAAATCGAGTCTGCCAGCTTTGCGAAGCGAAGCACATCGCGGCAGAAAAGTGCAAAGCTGACGAGCATGGGAAGGCCATCAAGTATACGAAAAATCGCTATGCGACGGACATTGCCTCAAAACCCTCCATCCCATTACACTCCGCCGTAGAGTGGATGTACTTAGCCAGCGCGAGACAGCCTCCACAGACACTGCCCAGCAAAGCATTCAAGCGTCCGCTAATTGAGAGCGAGACGTGTCTCGCTCTCAATTGGTTCTGGCCCTCAACAAAGACTGCGCTCTGCCTCAGCGGAGTACATCCTCCGTAGTCTGTACGCTGCCCCGATTCGGTTAGCTTCTCTTCAACTTCTCACACATTACAGAGTGGTTATCACTCGTAGCTAGTATTAAAAAGGAAGTAGTTAAGTAGCTTTCACTTGTTTCATTGCTTCTATACAACGTACAACGTGTATGTACACCTCCACTTCTGTCAAACTACTTTTCCTAAGGAACAAAAAGAAATACTGTCCAAAAAGACAAAAAAAGATAGTGGATTTTCTCCCCCGCCGGGAATCGAACCCGGGCCAGCCGCGTGACAAGCGGCGATCATAACCACTCTGTGATATGTGTGAGAAGTTGAAGAGAAGCTAACCGAATCGGGGCAGCTTACAGACTACGGAGGATGTACTCCGCTGAGGCAGAGCGCAGTCTTTGAACTGTTGAGGTAGGGCAGTCCGTTTACGCTATATAAAGCAAGAAAACTGGATCCGATTCAACGCTTTTCCCGCTCACCCTTGGCCTCAACGGGCTCCATCTTATGCCCACGCGATCCTTAGCTTTCGGGCTTTCTCACACGGTCACGCACAGCGCAATTTAATTCTATTTTGGCACTGATTTTGCAGTTGCAGTTTCTCATGATTCCACAGTCCTCGAGCACTGAAAGCACAGCGAGAGCACGCAGCGCTCTCGATGGCTGCTCTGTAAGCGTCTTGCTAAGAGAAGCCCGGCCTGAGGCATCTCTCTGCACCCAGCAAGCGGGCGCCCATCACGCGGCTGCCCCGGAATCGCCTCCATGTTCTTCTCTACCTAAACTTGCAATTGATAGTCGCCTAAGCAACAGATAGCATTCCAAAGGATGCGCTTCTCGCCTGCTTGCAACGTCGCAGCTCGCCGAAATGAGGCTCTCGGGAGTCGCGTCGGGAGTCTGTGGTACAATGGTCACACCACGATCAGTCAACTGCGGCCCGCACCATCGCATGGAAAACAGCCCACAGTCACCACGAACCAGCACGTCAGCGCGAAAAGGCAGCGGAACCGATGGAAATATTGGCTGAGAATGCTGTAATCTGATTTTCCGTAATTGTCTTATTGTCACTCCACCATACTCGTACCACTGTATGATGGAATAGGGCAGAAAGTTATAAAGACGCCGCATAAGGATGAAGTATATGGATTTCCTCTACATCATCACAGATTCACAAAGCAAAGAGTTCATTGCTCCTCTCAATACATAGACCACAGCTGCCCTATCAAATCTACTATTCTTAAAGTCCTCATTACCACACGCATTTCGATCGGCGATCTGATTGGACACAACTAAGCCTTACCACGCAACCAAAAGACACTCCACGTTCGAACCATCTCTATAGACTACTATTTCGAAGACTATTCGACACCATGCCAGCAAGCACAACATTCCTGCGCACCTTCGCCTCTGCCGCACGCAATCTCCTCAGAGAGCCACACCCAATGGGCAAATACCCAGTATCACTGAGGCCGCATGATCATCCAATCACTCCAGTTCTCGCTCGCCTTGGGAGGACATCAGCGCTGTAAGAATCGTCAGTCAGAATTTGTAACGCATGAGACTGACTTTCTTCTTCCAGATACGTGGCCATGGTAACTGGATTGTTCGGCTGGCCGCTGGCCGCAAGAGCGGTCCTGCGATCGCAGAGCATTGGTTGAGCTGTTCGAAACGATTCTTGTATTCATACATTTGGAGACTGTTTAGACACGCATGGATCGTAATGGTCCTATTCCTGCAACGGAAAAAGACATGGCGTTTGCGCGTTGGCGTTGTGCCGCTAGACATTCAGCGGATGGCATTATTTTGTAGGGAGCAGCCAAGGGTCTCGCATTATTAGCATCTGGACCAGCCAGGCCAGGCATCAAATCAAAGAAAGTTTGATAATTACTGGGCGCCGCATTAGTTCCCCTTTGTTGCTCACCGAGGATACGTATCACACGATGGGCGTTCAGACTCAGCGCCCACCAACACGGATAGAGCGCGATATGCAAATCAAGTGAATGGTGTTCAAGTAGACTTCGACTGACGAGCGAGCGAGGTATTGATATATTCGGGGCCGAGAGAGCAATTGCGACTTCAATTTTCCGACCCCTCTTGTGAACCAATGCTCTGCAACCTCCCTCCTCCCTCACTTCTGCACCACCAACTCGAAGTTTTCAAGGGCAGTGCCCCTCCAATGTGCCAGGTCGTAGTGTGTATGCACTTCCAGTTCTGTTGCACTGGGCCTCTGTCGATACTGAACGTGGACAACGGTCACATGGCGAGGATGGCGTCTGTCCTGCTCACAGTCTACCGTATGCTCCTCCGATGTACCGCACCATACAAAGGGGTCGAACCACAGTTGCAACCTGATGTGTTCCCGCAATAGCTTCTTCCCGATGGCTGCGAGCACATGGCCACTCCAAACCGTGCCCATGTTGGCGCTTAGTATTCCAGCCGTTGTTGCGTTGATGAGTTCTCGAGTTGAGTTGGGTATCATCGTTTTATGAATGACACTCGTTGTTGAACGGTATAGCGACGGCCAGTACATAGTGTTACAGCCACCGGGGACCAATTCGAAACGGAGACGCAATGGTTCCTGGTCCCACACACGCTCCAACAGCGATGGCGGAAATGCAATGGGCGGCGCAGTATGTACGAGAAGCGTCAGACTTAGTTTTCGAAGGTTCTCGATAGGAAGACCGATAAGCAGCCCTCGGGCAGGTTGTACGAAAAGCCTGAAGGCATTGGAAAACATCAATTTTGGCGCGTCCAATGCTCGTCGATGGGGAGGTTCATCAGGCCTGTCTTGGTGTTCGTAGTATATGTCTTGGAAGAACCCAAAACGGACCTGTTGGAGGAGCATCGGCAGTACTTCCAAGGCAAATGTTTTGCACGCAAACGCAAGGCTGTAAGCTGGTTGGAGAATATGCCGGAGCTCAATGGGGGTAAGGAACAGCCTTTGCTGCCGCATGTCCTCCATATCCAGGGCGTATTCGTATATCATCAATCGCAGTTCTGGAGGAAGATACATGATGAAGCTTGGGCGTTGAGCATCGGTCGCACTCCGGGGTCTTGTTCGTGCTGGTGGTCGTCTGCGAGAGTTCAACGAACGGTTGACGGTGCTGCGACGCCCGCAAGGGTATCGATGGTGGGCTGCAATCTGCATTGAATGGCGGATGATACTAGTTGAGTGATGCGTGTCTCGGCCCGGTACTCCGTTTAGATCAGACATCGTTCTGAGAGCGAATGTAAACGCGATGTTCTGTAGGTATGAACCATATGATCAAAGAGAGTTGAAGTTGAGGTTGATTGTCAATGGAAGTGTCAACTGGAAAGCCCCTTCCCGTTTGGGTCGTGGCCGGGGCAGCCTTGGCAGGTGCACATTGTGGTGTTTGGTGTCACGCTGCGCTTGCCACTTTGGGGCAGCTTGCTTGCAGCTTGGCAGCTTGAGTGAATCAGCAAAGAGACTGGCGTAATTCTACTCATTTGCGCAATTCTTACCGGTCGGGGTAGGCTTTAGTGCTTCATTGGCGTATCTGACATTCTTAACTCTAGCGCAGCAGAGCAGCGCACTCGCGCGAGAAGATGCTCGTGGAAGAGCGCTGAATGACGTCGTACCGGGCCATAATGTGGAAATACGGCCCTGAATTCTTCCATCGGCCCATCAAGGGTCTTAAGTAAAGACTCGTCATTCAGGTGGAAGAGACTCCGGGTCCCTGCGCAACAGCAACTAAGCTATGTACCCGTGCGGCTGACCCTGAATGAAGGCTAATTCGGGAGACGCTCGACGACCGGGATGCGCCTCAAACAACCACTGCTTCCCACTTTTCTCCCAAACAAGACGCTCGATGCATTGGAAGTGACGCACTTTCTTCAAGGCCTTTCTGCCCCCGTCCAGTCGCAATACGAAAATGCTACGCAACTGCCCAGCCGGGGAGATGGAACGTTGCGAACAGCGGTGTGTCAGCACGGCACAGTCTTGGCGGCGGAAATGCGGAGAGGAACCGGCTTCCAAGCCACCAAAGAGGGGGCTCACCACCCATTTCTGCTCACTGTATTGATTTTTAAAAACTCCATCCTCTCCTTCAATGTTCTGTCTCGACGGTCTGCTTCTGTTTTGCTCCATCATGTGTTAGCTCTCCAGCCGTTGCGGCATTCGCGTTCGTTGACGTATCGTCCGCCCCCAAACTGGTCGCATTTCTCGGAAGAGACGTATAAAAATAACCCATCAACGTCGGCTTAATATCCTCAAACGCCATGGGATGATTCTCGTTGCCAACGATCATGACTGAAGAGCTGTTTCCGGATGGCCACTGGAGAAGTCCCTCCGTCGTCGTGATCACCATACCGACGATACTAATCACAATCGCAACTGCCTCGGTAGGCTTACGACTCTATGCTCGAATAACTCTGCACAAGCACTTGGCCGTCGACGACGTGTGCATCGTTCTTGGACTCGCCCTCTCAATCGCGCGTACTGTGATCGCAGGTCTGTCGAGTGAATCAGGATGGGCTTCAAGACATGGCCCTCAAGCGAACTACCAGATTCCTTATTATCTGCGCTACTTTGAGCGTCGACTATTCTATGCTCTGGCCGCCTTCTTCATCCGCGCTGGTGTCCTCACGTACTACCTGAGATTATTCCCGACAGCTCTTCGACGGTTACGTGCAACGAGTTGGGCTGTGCTCGTGCTGAGCTTTCTGCAATGCGCGCAGCTCTGCATCGAACTAGGCGTCTATTGCAATGACATCGGGGACCTTTACCGTGGCCATATCGAGCACTATGACAATCCAAGCTGCAGCGACGCCTACGGATTTACCTACTCTGGAGCCATTGTCGACGCGGCAATCGATGGCATGATCTATTGTCCGTAAAAATCCTGTGTGTTCTGAATCAAGAAATATAGTTGAAGCTAATATCATGTAGTAACTCCAATACCATACGTGTGGGGTTTGAGACGTCTGCGCCTCGATCAACGACTTGGGCTGGTCTTTGTATTCGGCATCGGCAGTGTTGCCTGCATTTTCGCATTGCTCCAGATCCCATTCATTATCATGAACTATCGCCATCGACCGAACGGCCAAAGCTGGTTTGGTTCCGAGGTCTCACTCTTCATTGAAATTGAGCTCGCCCTCGGATTAATTGCCGCGAGCCTGCCCGATCTCCGTGGCTTGATTTCACGCAACATGCCCGGATTACTGGAAAAATTCAGGCACAGAGATGACTCGGATGACACACCATCGGTTCGAAGACCATCTGATTTTGGTCTACAAGGTCCTGATGCGGCTCGTAATTCTTCTGTCCCAATTGGGGCAGGGTTGAAGATGGGCGGCGAGGGAGTA